TGAATTAGATGTTAGATAAATAGCTCCCACATTATCACATCAAAGGATTGGAGAGGAGGATTGTGGGATGTGAAGTTCAAGCATCATATTTTGCAACCATAGCAATTCAGTCATGCCATTAACAAACAAGTTGTATTCACTTTCCATTGAAGAGTGCTTTACTATTTATTGTTTCTTTGATACATAGGATATCAAGTTGCTACCTAAGTAGATTGCAAAGCTATTGGTGGAATGCTTATCATTATGACAGCCCTCTATCATTGTCTGTGAAGCATTGTAACTGGTAAGATGATTTTGTATCAAAGAACAACCTTAAAGAAGATGTCCCCACTAAGTATCATAAGACCCATTTTACTGTTACCTAATGAATGTTAGATGGTATGTGCATATACTGACATAACTTGTTTATAGTGAATGAGATGTATGGTCTTGTTAGAGTAATATATTGCAAGACCCCAATAATCTTTTGATACATGGAACCATATTTGAGTTATTGGTTGTCTGCTTTTGGGAGGGGTGGTGTGACAAAAATAGGATTGCATATTTTGGCATCTGTCATTCCAACTTGCTCTAGGAGATCTTATATATATTTACGTTGGTTAAGGACGAGTCCATGCTTTATATGTTACATTTCAATTCCAAAAAAGAAGAATAAATCACCAAGGGCCTTCACGAGAAACTCATGTTGAAGCTTTTGAATTGTTGTATTGAGCACGATAACTGCTCGAGGGGTCGAGGGGCTTGCTTAAGCCCATAGATGGATCTTTTTAATTTGCACATAAATTTAGGCTTTAAAGAATCAATGAACTCCTTAGGTTGGTCCATGTAGATATCAACATCCAAGAACCCTTGAAGGAATGCATTTGAGACATCCAATTGTTTAATGGGCCACCTTTGAGTTACTGCATAAGAAAAAATTACTCTGATAGTAGTGGCTTTAATGACTAGGCTAAAAGTTTCCTTGTAATCAACGTCGACTGCTAGTGAAAACCTTTAGTGACTATGCGAGCCTTATATTTGTCCACCGATCCATCTGGCTCCTGTTTAATCCTGAAAACCCATTTATTACCAACAACGTTAGCATTAGATGGCCTAGGCACCAAATGACATGCATTCATTTCTTTTAGAGCATTGAATTCGGATTGCATGGCCTTTTTCCATTCAAGATATAGAAAGGCTTGTTTAAATGTGGTTGGTTCAATTTGAAGGAAGTTGGGAGATGTTTTGGCTTTTAGGGAACGACATACATGATTTGCATGCCATTAGGCTAGGGTAGAGGGAGGTAGCATCATGGGATGGTTCGGCTTTGATCATTGGAAGGTGGTTAAGTTTCAATCAAGGTAGAATATCAGGTAAGATCAACCATTAAATTTAAATCAGTTGGAGATATGAAATTATCATCATTAATGGTTATGTAAGAGTTTGAATGGCCAACGGTTGGTTTGATGATGGACACGTGATCTCTAGATTTGGATCAAACATATTACGTTAGTTCTCACTAAGAGATAAATGCCCAGGATTTTGTGGGGATTAAATGGACTCGGCTGAAGATAAATTTTACAAGGTTGACGTGTCTGAATGGGACATAGTGTTTGCATGGGAAGGATGTGAAAGAGGCAAATAACTGGGAATCCATGAGGCTGACTAGGTCGTGTTCATTGAAGGGAGTTGTGTTGGAGTCGTATGAGTAGATGCTTGAAAAATGAATTTGTTTTCCTCAAATGAGGCATGCTTAGTAATGTAAACTCTACCTGTATCCTTAACTAAACATATATTACCATAATGATTAGGTGAGATACCTAAGTAAACACATGGCTTCCTAAAAATATGCAAATCATAAAAATTAAAAATTTTGGAAAACAATTTAAAGTATGCACTAATATTATTTAAAACCAGAGTTGTGAGTAAATTAATTATAAAAACAACAGCCTGAAAGGCATATGGCCAATATCAAAATAAAACATGACTGTAAGCAAGGAGCGTTAGGCCGATGTCCACAATATGTCTTATTTTTTATTCAGCAACTCCATTTTGTTTGTGAGTATGTGGACATGCAATTCGGTGTAAAATTTCATTTTTGTTAAAAAATTAGTGTAGTTTTTGAAACTCACCTCTCCAGTCTGATTGAAAAGATTTCATTTTTGTGTTAAATTGATTTTCCACAAGTGATTTGAAGGAGATAAAACAATTAAAAACATCACTTTTATTCTTTAATAAGTAAATCCATGTGAATCTAATGAAATCATCTATAAAGATAAGAAAATACTTAAAACCTAAATTAAATGTTGTTGGGGAGGGACCCCACACATTAGAAAAGATCAACTCTAAAGGTGATGTATTGCTATGTACCACGGGTGGTAAGTGAGACTTTGTGAGTTTGCCCATGATACAAGTAGAACATTTATTAGATAAATGAAGATGTCTTAATTTTTTATGCTAGTCATAAGAACTCAAACATGCCATGCAAGCTCTCTTCATTGGTTGATGTGGCAAGATGTATAGACCCCCTTTATTGCATCCTTTGAGGAGGAGCTCCCTGGTGGTTTGATCCTTGCCATAAAAAAAACTAGGCCAAAGTTCAATAAAATAATGATTGTTAAGACAAAATTAATGTGCAAAAAGGAGATTATTAGTCGTAGATGAAACACACAAAATATTGTTTAGTTAAAAGGATTTTGAAGGATAGAAAAGTGTTTGATTACCAATATGAGTTATGGTTAAACCTTGTCCATTACCTACATGGACTTGATCATGGCCATCATATGTATTCGCATGATTAAATGCTTAAAGATTCGGTGTAACTTGATAATTAGTACTTGAATCGACTACCTAAGGTGAGTGTTGATGGCAATGTTATTGATTGTAGGTAGATTTTGCTAGATTGGCATGTGCTCCAGGATTTGTTTGCTCCATGTTAGCTTGTGCATTACATATCATGCATGCAAATGGTTCATAATGG